TAATATAAGTAATAAAAAGTAGACTATATAATATTTATATTAAAAGGTAAACTATTCGATACATGTATTATAAAGTCAGTCAAACGATACATGTATTACATGTTTAACATGTATGATATTTGGCGCAGTTGAAGATCATTTAAGGCACAGTACAAACTGCGGCTGACACCGGAAAATAACGAGATCGTCGCACAGCATCTGTTTTAAGTATTGCCTTTATGCTAACAAATTTGAATAATGTGATCAGTATTGGGACCTATATATAGAATCTTACAAAGTTTTTTTTTTTTTTTTTTTTCACAGAAATAATTTTATCGCTTTATCACGATGGATAATTCATCAGGCCCATCAAGTCCTAATTTCTCTTTAAGTTCTATAAGTCAATTTAGTCATTTGTCTTTTTCAAGTTATCCAAGTTCACCAGGTTCTCCAGGTTCTCCAAGTTCTCCAAGTTCTTCTACAAGTTCTCCAAATCCTACGAATTCTCCATTTGATTTTAATTTTGACAAAAGTCTTGTAATGAAAAGAAAGTTTGCAAGCGGTATTTCTAATAAAGGGCTTAATTTGAGGAAAACAACACACGGCCTCAATCTCGAAGGTAAATATTGTTGAAAACTAATTTGACACGAGCTCATATCATTAATATTCTCTCTTTTAAAGGATACTGCAAGAATACATCTTGCAAAGCTTACAATCAACTTCAAATCGTTCGCCACTTTGGTTACGGTACTTACAAGTTTCCTACGGAACCTCATCTCAGCATATGCAAACTATGTAAGAAACAAGTCGAACCCGTCACCTGTGGGTTCACAAATACCCTCTGGAAATACGAATGGAAAAAGAGTGTTGATTTAAACGCTTGGAGGATGGAAGGTACTACTGAGCGAACAATTACAGAAAAGTCTACTACTTGGGAGCGCGCAGAACTTGATGAATACGTAACATTTGGAAATGCGAGCATCTCTGAAGATGTAGGAGTACAATGGCTGAAACTAAAGATCACAACCGTACGTCTTTGACCGCCTCCTACCTCTTTTTGAAAGTTGATATTGGTTGTTATAATTTTAATCATGGTGACCTGAAAAAGATCTTGTTTAAATTAATTTAGTTTGTTATTATTGATTTGTTCTTTGCATGATTAATTTATACCATTTCAATAAAAGAGAAACAGTAAATTGTAACAATTAAATGAAATTTCTATTATCAATTTTCTTTTAAGAATTTCCTTAAAATTCCATAATTTTCAAAAAAATATTAAGATGAAGTCAATTTTCATAATCTTCTAATTTCCATTGTTTAATTGGGTAAAGATGGCCATGCTTTATACAGCTATTTTGTCTGAAGTAAACACCCGAATTCTCGCATTTCTAGTTCGTGTTGAGAAAATTTGAAAGACAACGTCCGTATAATGTTTGTAATTCCAAAAAAAAACCATGCTCATAGTTTTAGTATATCTCCTACAAATTTCTTAAATATAAATATAATAGTCAATATGGGTTTGTAGTATTATAATTTTTAAATGTTTTATCAAAATGTATGTGTATCAAAATGTTGGATATTGAATATCTATTAGAAATTTCTTATGACTTTAATAATCTTTTATGATCTTTGGCTTTGGTTTCAATAATAAGATCACATCATATATTTATGTGTATGTTAACTAATTCATTTACCAAATAAAAATAATGAAATGTGAGCATAATCAATCAATGTTACGTCTCACATCCTGATCAGTTACATATTGCATAAGTGTAAAGCATTTTATCCGGTATCCCGTGATTTTTTATAATTAACAATGACTATAATAAATCGTTTATCAGGCAAAAAATCGGTTA